CTTGAGAAGTTTAAAAGTTCAGCTAAGTGATTCAGCAGAGGGCCAGGGTCCTTGCTTTGTGAACATCCTCAGTTTGTGGAAACGGAGAGTACAGAGATGGTGTGGGCATGGGTGGATAGCAGATATATAATATGAGGGAGGAAAAGAGGTTTGCTTCCCCCCCCCCTTTTAGGTCTTGCAGCTTTTCATGTCTTCTGCCACCTTGACGTGTTGCCCTTGTGCCATGCCACCCTGCCATGAAGCCAGCTGATTGCAGACTGAAACTTCCACAGACTGCGAGCTAAATAAACCCTTTCTTCCTTAATTTTGGGTGTCTGGTATTTTGTTTCAACAACAAAAGAAAAGTAACTAAAATAGGCACAAAGTTAGTAATAATTTGTTATAGCTGGCTAGGAAACTATTATACTTCCCTTTCTGTCACATCTCTTTCCACTACCTATGGGTTGTGTCATTCCATACTTGTTTCCATGACATGATCACCTCTCGCTTTCTCCTCCAGCACATCGACCCTTCTGTTTTCCAGAGCAACTACAGAAACAGAGAAGTTTCTGTAGCACAGGCTGAAATGCAAAAAATATTTTCATTTTCTCTGAGAAAAGCCTGGAATTTTTAAAAGCAATCAATAAATATTAATCTGTAGACCAGATCTGGGCTTTTTCCTGATTTTTGAAATTAAGTTTTATTGGAACACATTAAATTATATGTTGCCTATAACTACTTTCACCCTACAATGGTAGACTTAAGTAGACACAAGGTCCTTAAGCCTTTAAATATTTACTACATATTCTTTGCCGAAGAAGTGTGCTGTTTTCTTAATAAGAACAAAGATAATCTTAGAGCTGGGATATGAATACATATGGGCCTTCAGAACTTCCATTTCAATAGTCAGTCTATAGGTATAATAATAAAGACAGAAAGTACCTGAATAGATTAACTCAGTTGGAGAAGTAAGATAAATCTTGGCTCTAAGGTATCAGGTCATAACCTGTGGAACCCAGAAATGCTGCCTTATTTGGAAAAAGGGTGTTCACAGATGTAATTAAGGACCTTGAGATGAGGAGGTGATCCTGGAAAATCTGCATGGGCCTTAAATGCCATCACAGGTGTCTTTATAGAAAAGAGGAGAAGGAAAATTTGAAGGCCACGCTGAAGAGAGGGCAATCTGAAGCGAAGGGTGACAGTAGAGTGGGACAGCTCTGTCAAAGAAAGTCAGCAGCCACCAGAAGCTAGAGGAGGCAAGAGATGGATTCTCTCTGAGAGCCTCAGGTGGAAGCATGACCCTGCTGACATTTTGACTTATGGACTTCTGGTTTCCTGAAAAATAAAATAGAAGTTTTCTTTGTTTTAGGCTAGCACAGTATCTACAATAATTTGCCATAACTTGTGGTGATTTGTAATAATTTGTTATAGAAACAAAAGGAAACACAGGCAGAAGACAATTTTGAGAATGAAATACAAATATGCTTTCATTTTCTCCAAGAAAAGCCTACCCTTTAAGTAAGAATCAACAACTTTTCATCTGTAGGCTCAAACTGGCCCTCTGCCTGATTTTGAAAATTGTTTTCCATTGTGATATATTATCCTGTCTTACCATATGTATATTTCATTTATGTATTGCCTTTCACACTACAATGGCAACCTTTTAACCAGCCTGAATGATTAACCAATAGAAATTTTATTTTTATGAATTCTGAATTCTTTACTTCACCTAATATCTGATGTTGGTAGAAGAAATAGGAAGAAATACAATAGGACAAGCTTTGTGTACCTACAGACTTTGTGGTTATTCACATTACTGAACAGAGTGAAAAGACTTCACAGTAATGTAGTCAAAGTTCTTTGAGTAAATCTCTGATTTTCTCTTCAATCTGGCATTAGAAAACAATCCACACTTCAAGCAGAACCTGGGCAGCTCCAGCCTCTCCTCTTTCACTGCCTAAGGGTACACAAGATGCCAATTAACTGCTTCCTATTTTTATTATCAAACTTTTCAAGATCAGTATTTAGTTATATATATAGATTATATTATATTTCATTGTGATATATACATATACATATATATCCTCTCTTACCATATGTATATTTCATATGCTAAATATGATCAATGTTTAAATATCTAGGCCTACAACACTGAAAACCACTTACAATCAGGCTCATTCTTACAGATTGACACATGCTTGAACTCCGCATTTTTAAAATCTTTGCTGTGTGCTATTCCTCTTGAGGCGACTGTACATTTTGCTTAGGTTGGCAATCAAACAATTATCTATTTGTAGTTTTTTGGTTCAGCCACAGATGCGAGGACTAAATCTGGACAAGCTCAGTTTTCCCAGAGGTAACCTAATGGGTGTAGGCTCAGGTATGTCAAATATGCCACTCCCATTGTGCCCTGGGGTTTCCCTGATATTGAATGTCTGTTGCTCAGGTTTACTACATTAGGCTTCTCAGAAAGCCCTTCCCTTTCAGAGGCCTGTTTTTGTGGCAGCTCAGCAATGCATCCTTGTAATGACCCTGCCTTTTTTCTTGCAACCCACTTCTGGACAATATTGCAACAGATTTTATCTCAGCTCTGCTTTTTAGGAAACCCAGACCAAGGCAAGGGGTTACTGCAGTCAAAAGAAAGAAAGAATAGATGCTAACTTATGAAATCTTTCATTGTGGATTTTTGCAAATAATCAATCACAAAAGCAGACAGAGGGAATAAAGTAGACCTGTAGGAAGCTTTCATTCCAGATAGCCTTTCTGCAGTATATACTTGAAATAATTCTCTGGATTCCTGGACATGGAAATAAAGGGAGATTGAAAGGTAAATACATATGTATTCTGTGACATTATTAAATTTGCCTCCATAAGAATTGTATCATTATAGACTTTTGTTACCAAAAAAGTAAAAGGAAGATTTTTCTTTTTACTTGAATCCCCCCAATAGAATGTTATTAAACTTTCAGATTTCTCCCAACCTCATCTGTGTAGATCACAAAGTGGCCCACAGAACAATGCTTAAGTAAATTCAAAGGAACTGAAATTAGCCCGTGCACATTATCTGACCATAGTGCAACGAAATTGGAAATCAGTGGCAAAAGAAACCTCAAAAACTCAATAAACGCATGGAAATTAAATAACACCGTACTGAATAACCAGTGGGTCTCAGTTGAAATTAAAGAAGAAATTAAGCAGTATCTACAATTAAATGGTAATGGCTATACAACATACTGGAACCTATGGGACACAATGAAAGCAGTCCTATGAGGGAAATTTATACTGGTGAATTCTCATAACAGTAAAACAGAGTGAATTCAAATAAACAACCTAATGTTGAACCTCAAACTTCTAGAAAAAGAAGAAGTCAAACCCAAAGGTCATATGAGGGAGGAAATTATAAAGATCAGAGCAGAAATTAATGCAATGGAGACTAAGAAAACAATACCAAGAATCAAGGAAATGAAGACTTGGTTCTTTGAGAGATTAAATGAAAGTGATAAACCCTTACCTAGTCCTATCAAAAAAAGGAAATAAAAGAGTCAAATTCTCAACTAGGAATGATAAGGTGAAATCAATGGATCCTGTGGAAACCCAGAAGATCATCAATATCTACTTTGAGAATCTTTAATAAAATGGAAAACAAAGAAGAAATGGACAGATTCCTAGATACATATGAATTACCAAAGTTGAATGAAGAAGATATAAAAATTCTAAATAACCCAATTTTAGGTAATGAAATTGAAAATGTAATTAAATACTTACCAAGAGAGAAAAACCCAGGTCCTGATGGATTCACTGCTGAATTCTACAAGAAATTTAGAGAATATCTAATGCCTGTTCTCCTCAAACTTTAATGACATCTAAAGGGAAGCAATACTCCCAAAGTCATTCTTAGAAGCAAGCATTACCTTGATACCAAAACCAGAGAAGGACTAACCAAAAAAGAGAACTACCAGCCAATCTCCCTAATGAACATAAACACAAAACTCTTCAATAAAATACTGGCAAACTAAGTACAGCAAATCATCAGGAAGATTATACACAATGACCAAGTAGTAGTCATTCCAGGGAATGCAGGGATGGTTCAACATACACAAATCAAGAAATACAATACACCGTATCAATGGAGCCTAAGACAAAAATCACATGATCATGTTAATAGATGCAGAAAAAGCATATGACAAAGTTTTAGTGCATTTTTATGTTGAGTAAGATTCAGCATGTTTTTGTATTGATGTTTTCTCATATCTTTTGTTCATTTGTCTATAGAGCTGTTAGCCTTTTTATTCTCATTTTTCAGGGTATTAACACTATTTGTGATAAAATTTGAAAATATTGTTGTTCAGTGTTCATCAGTTAATTTTGACTCAGTTTGGGTGTTTTCTATAGAATACCATCTTTGTGATGAAGACACACAGAGTAATTACTGGAAAAGAGATTCCTATTTCTACCAAACAAATATTCACTGGATTAATCTTCCCTAAATACTTCACAGGAGACTCCTAAAGAAAATCTTAAGAGCATTTAGCTTGTAAATAATATCACAACATTCCAATACCTGGCTGTTTACATTTGTCTGATTATCTGGGCTCTTTTTTATTTGTTGTCTCCTTTTTCTTCCTTTCTCTATCCCCATTTCTCTCCTTCTTCTTCTCTTCTTTCTTTTCCTTCTTTTTTGCCCCCTGCTCTCTCTCTCTCTTTCTTTCTTTCTTTCTTTCTTTCTTTCTTTCTTTCTTTCTTTCTTTCTTTCTTTCTTTCTTTCCTTTTCTTTTCTTTCTTTCTTTCTTTCTTTCTTTCTTTCTTTCTTTCTTTTTCTTTCTTTCTTTCTTTCTCTTTCTTTTCTTCCTTCTATTCTCAACCCCCACTCTTCTGTCGTTTATCTGGCAGTAGATATGTTTGAAAAAGCAGAGAAGCCAACAGTGTAACCCAAAAGCATCCAATACCAGTAAAAATATAAATATGGCACATAGTGTGAGGAAAGAAACAAGGTTGTGATTGTTGGATTTCATCTAACCAAGGGAATTCAGAGAAAATATCTTGGAAGAAATAAGCCTGGTGCTTTGAAGGATGAATAAGAAATAACTAGTCTGAAAAGCAGAGTGACTTTCTGGAAAGCATCTGCAAAGGCCCTGTGAAGAGATGGAGTGAATAGAAGAGATGCGTGTAAGGCAGAAAGATCACTGGGAACCTGGTGAAAAACAGGCTGAAGAGTTAGGTAAGAGGCCAACCTTGCAGGCTCTTGAGGGTCATGCTAGGAGATGATATATCCTATGACATGTCCTATGCCCCTAGATGACATAGCTTGTGCTTAGGATACATCTTATAAAAGCATTTCAACATCATGGGAGGATTTAAAAAAAAGGGAGTGAATGTAATCTGTATTTTGAAAATGGCATGCTGACTCCTGTGTGAAAACAGAGTCTAAAGGTCACTAAATGGGAAGGTGTCCAAAAAGCACCCTGGTGTGCGATTTGAGAGAGGACAGCAAGAAGAGTCAAGATGGGTAGATTCAGAACATGTACCACTCGGATATCTAATTTTGTTAATGCCTCCCCATATGACAAATTATGCTTAGTAACAATCATCAGATAAAGCAAATAGCTTATAATAATAGTGATTAGAAAAGGAATACAGATGACAAAAGAATTTCTTTCATTAACTTTATATCTGTGACAATTTGAAAAAAGTTCAGAAAAATAAAGTTTAAAGATAGGTAAATGCACAGTTATTAATTCCATTGCTTTTATTTCTACTTTTCTGCCACTTAACAGTTTGCCTTTATTCATTTAGTTATAGTTCTATACATCTTGAATAAATAGTACTCTGATAATGAATAAATTATAATAAAACCAAAATGTCCACAAAATATAAGGTAGGCAATAGAGCAGTGATAAAACTAATAGAATGTTTTATTTTTTTGATAAGCTTTTAAAGTTTAAAGATGCATATTATTTTTAAATAAATATATTTTAATTACAGACATTATTCGGTATGAGTGAACTAAACTTTGTACCTAGAAAACAAAAATACCCACCATAGGCTTCACACTGTTTTCCCTTTTTTTATGTTTGAAACATAGGCTCCAACTGGTCACACAGAAAGACAGAATAGAAGTAATTTAAGCTCTGTGTCTTCATTTTAACACTGTTGTCATTGTGTATTGTGAATCTCCTATTTAAAGGAAAGTGTGAAAGTTACACACAGTATCCAAAGTGAGCTCAAATGTTTTCTGAGCCATCAAAAGTTGTTTCAAAAGGGAAACATGCTGGGTCTACCAGTGTTAAAGACCTACTGTGTACCTGGGATTTCTTCCAGATGAACTTCCCTATTAAAGAATAAATGGTAAAAATGTGCTAACATGAAGCTTACTATTTGTTGTTAAAACTTAGCAAGAGCTGCAGAAATTATGTAGGATTTATGGCATCAAAAGGTTAAAGGAAGAAGGAGTAGTTTGCAATCACTAGCATTGTTTAGCATTGCCAGCTCATGGTAGTAATAAAAACAGATGGCTTAAAATTCTCTAAGGACAGTGTAGCTCCTTTTATTGGTTGTACGTGAGGAAGACCTCACCCGCCACTTGTTTCACCTTTGGGCAGCATGGGATACGGTGAACAACGGCTAAATTTACATTAAGAGTTCTTCAAATGTAGACCAAGCCCAGCCTCTGCTCGTAGACAGCATGTGCTGGAGGAGTGGGAAGATGCGGAACTGAATGTAATGGGCTTCTTTTTCTTTTCTAATAGGTTATCTGATGGCCGTGGGCTGAGTGTGCCGAGACTGGAAACTGACAAACGTTCTCCCTTTGGCCAAAGTGGAGCCAGACTTCCTCACTGTGTTTTAACTATGGCTTACAAAGACTGGAACAAAGTATTAAAATAGTTTCTAACAAGCAGCTCAAGACCACATCCTAAAATGACCTGAGCTCCCTTTTAAGTGTTTGGCTGAGAGTACTCAAGGTGGTCAAAAGAATTTGTTTTTTTGTTTCAGCCAAGACGTGAAGATAATGTCACTGCCTCCTGGCCCCTGTGGAAAGGCAGGAGTCTAACTTAATAAGTGCCAGTGAACAAACCCAGGTGGATTTCGTATGGACCAACTCCCTTCCTGCCTTTTGTGATATTTCACTACCCTTCCTCTGTTCCCCTCTGCTCATCCCATTTCTATCTCTTCATTCCCTATTTAAAATGCTCTGCCATCTCTGTACAAATTGATATTGTATTCAGTTCATGTTGGATTCTTTCTCTATTGCAATAGTATATTACTGATTAAAATCTGTCCTTATCACTTTAACTAATAGCTTTGCTCATCTCAGACAAGATTTACAAACCAATCTAAAAATATATCTGAACAAAGGCAGTCACATAAAGAAGATGCACCATGGGGATAAGATCCACTGGAAAATGCCAGCCTCTGGATTTCTCCTAGTGGAATACTGTAATGGGTCTTCAAAGTAGAAAACAGACTGGACAGAAGACTGGGGGAAATGGAAACAAATTGTTCATTGGTAGGAACTAGCAGTAGATGAATATTTTAACTAAGATGTTGGGAGTTGCTAGAAGAATAGCTTATGCCCAGGTGGAGAGGAAAACGTGTAGAATATACCAGGTTAGTGATAACACTTAAAATATCAATTTGTAAACAATTTGGAGGTTTTTAAATAACCAGCTTTGTTACATCAAACAAAAGCTTCCACTTTTCCAACGGTCTGTATGGGATGAGATTAAAATGCTAAGGTACAAATTGGAATTACTTTAAAAAGTCAAGCAGCATAATACATTCCTGTGCTGCTTTGCTAGGTCGTAGCTCCACTATATCAATACATGTGGTGATTTGATAAGAAGTCATATACACACAAAGAACAGATTTTCTGATTATTAAATGCTGACATTATATTTGCTAATAAATCATTCATTGATCCTGTAAAATATTTATTAATGCTTAATGAATACCACACTCTGGGCTTTGCAGTGGTTTTTGTCCTCAGAGAGGATAGAGTGGTGATAACGGAGGTTGATTGCTCAAGACACATAGATGTGGATTCCTGTCCTCTACTCATCTGTTTTTAGACTTCATTCCTGCCCTTCTGCAGCTGGACTCTGTATCTCGGGAGATTTTTTTCAAGTCTGCCTTTCCTAGGCTGAGTAGGGTTTTGGCTGGCTGTGGCTAAAGAGAGACACTGGAGAGAGAATGGAAGGTGGGAAAATTGGAGAAACCAGTGAATTTGTCCTGTTGCTCAGGCAGCATCTTAGGAAATGCCTGCCTTTCTGCCATGTTCCCAAGTTCTGCTCAATAGGCTCAGAATTTGGTTTCTGATACGTCCACTCTTAACAGCTGAATCTGTGCACCTCTTCTCAACTTTTTATTTGGTCATGGATTGGTATTTTGTGGGATTTTTACACCACAAAAATTGGTAGACAAGCTTAGTTTCTCTCCAGAGAGCTGTGTTTTAATCATTAACCAGAGCACTGCTGGGGTTAGTCACGCCCCCTGTTTGGATTCTTTCTACGAGAGTGGTAGTTTACTTCTGTTTATGTTACTCTGTCAGTTGCCCCAGTGTCTCAATTCTTTCTCCCTTTGTATAGTTATTTTTTTTCTATTAAATCCCTTTTCAGTCAGAAATGATATGATCAAGTAACTGCTCTTGTGTTTTAGTTTTTTGTGTTGCCATAATAAAATGCCTGATAATGAGAAATTTGTAAAGAAATAAGGTTAATTTAGGTCACAGTTTTGGAGGGTCGAGGGCATGGCTTTGGCTTCTGTTTGGTTCTCGCAAGGGACTTTCAGCTATATTATGAAATAATGGATGGTGATCTTGTGGGAAAGACATGGTAGGACCAGAGGGAAACAGCACATGATGAGGAAGCCACAGGGATTCAAGGGCCAGCCAGGTTTGTATTTTTCAAAAAAACATGCTTTCATGGGAACTCATCAGGGTCACATGAGAACTACATCAATCCTTCTTGAGGGTGGCACCACGATGATCTGCCTACCAAAACTCTTAAAAGTTTTACTAACTCTCAACACCATCACATGAGTCCCAAGTTTTCAACACATGAGACTTGAAGGGACACAGAAAACCACAGTACCTGGGCTAGATACTTAGATTTTTTTGGATAGTTTTGGAAAGATCTTTAGAGGAGGTTGTGCGCTGATTTTTAAAAATAAAGTGGGTATAGCTTGGTGATAGGATGAAAAGATAAAGCATCAGGCCCAGATTTTGCTTTGTGAATCCTAAGCAGGAAAGTAGAGGCAGAGAAGCAAGTTCAGAGAAGAGGTAGAAATCCTGAGTTTGAGGAGCTTATGGGATACCTGAGGGTAAGTATCCACAGGGTTTGATTCAATGTAGAGCACAGAGGGGGTAGGACTTCTTGAAACTCTGTTGTCACAGTTGCTTCCACAGTAGGTCATATTATTTGTTTTCTGTATCTTTAAAGTACTATTTAAAGTTTTATTTATATATATTCACTTCTCCCCTATCTAATAAAAATTTCCTTTCTTGATGTCCATGTTTCTCACTAGCATTTGCTATATGTCTCTTTTCCCTTTTATGCACAGTGTTCCTCCTTAATCCCCTGAAACCTGGTTTCTATGCCCACTCTTCTGAAGTTAATCTTGGCAAACAACAGTGACTAGCCTATTGGTAAAGGCAGTGGGCTCCCAGCTCTGAGCAGGCCATTATCCGGATCCTGATCAGTGGCCAGTATATAGCAAATATTCAGTAAATGAGCGTTGTAATTGTTATGGTTGGGCTGAATTAATTTTTAAATGTGACTGCTAAATTTACTTTTTTCAAGAAGAATTGTCTTTATGATTTACCACTTTGTGAGATCATTTAATTCTTAATGAATTTTTGTATCTAATTACCTACCATGAACAGGACTGAAGAATTCAGTAGAGGAAAAACCCATTACCTAGCACCCTATGGAAGGAACAAAAATATAAATGACAAACAAATTGTTTACCTAAAATTTTCATCCTTCAACAACTTGTATGTTTTATTACAGAGACAGAGTTTCAAATGGTACAGATTGCCTTATGGGAATGATCAGTTAAAGCATTTTCCTCAGTGTCTCTGTTCTCTTGCAGTTCCCACAGCTAGTAATCTTTGGTAAGGAACAGAAATAAAGACTAAGGGTCATTTACTAAGTGGCATGTTTGATTTACAGTCTAGTAGCTGCAAGGAATTAGTAGTGCATTCATATTTCAATAGCTCACAGCATAAAAGCCATGACTATCATGATGAGCACATTCTTAAATCATATCTTTGCCTAAGTGTAAGAGGAAATATGCTTTAATAGAACAGTGTGACCTACTCTTTCAGTCTCTTTCAAAAGGGAACAAAATGTACAAATGAGATATGATACTTTATTTTTTTATTTTTTCACTTTGCTTTGCAAAGGAGCAGTTTCTGCTTTGTCTTTCACTTTGAATTTTGAAAGCCAAGATTTGCCATATGGACAATTGTAATCATATATGCTCAGATTTAATCCTATGTCACAACCAATAAACCTCACTCTCAAAAGCCAAAAAACCACAGGGCAGTCTTAAAGTTGTTAGTAAACCAGTATTCTCTGGTATGTAACACCCATAGTTTGACTATGGGAACATGCTCAGTATACATTTAACTTTTTAATTTGGATATTAAGATGGTTACAGTGGCCAATCTTAACTGTAGTTCATATTAAATCTTAAAGTTGATAAGATGATTACATATACAATTCCATATTAACTTGAGAGAAATAAATGATCTGTTATTTTAATAGATGAAAAGATAAAAGGAGATAACTGTATCTAAAATGTTTATCCATAGTCTTTTTCTTATCACATGAAGAAGGTATAAAGCAAATAAACATTGCACAAGGGAATCTGTCATGATATTCTGATGTGTTGAGGAAGAAAATTTAGAGGAAAAATGCATTTTAATTTAACATGAGGTGCAACTGTTCTTGTATTTATCATTGTACCATTCTTTTGAAACTTTGTGTCTTCTAAATATGATTTAACTTAATTTTGTTCAATTGTTATATTTAACTTTAGCATTAAAAATAGCAAATGATCAACTATGTAAATGTATCAAAGGAAAAATAGAAGAAAAGAAGGAAGAAGGGGGCATCAGTGCATCGTTTAAAACACAAACATAGAATGTTTTGATGATACCTTGGAAAGTTTCTAAAATGTCCATGCTTTGTTGGCCAATATTGACCAATATTGATCTTAATTTGATTAACTGCTCCTCTTTTACAGACTTGGGGATGAAGTGATCTTTTATAACACATGCTATTATTTCTATAGGTCACAAATATATTTCACAGTGTGGAATTTATGTAATCTAGGCAATGAACAGAGCCTCACTTGAGTCATTGTTTTCCACTGGAATTTTGTCAGGATGCAAATACAGGAATTGAGAAAAAGGTAAACCATCCAGCCTAGGAAACTTGGAAACTCTGGAGGAGCCAAGCACGCCAGGACAGGAAGTAAGTCTTCCTGAGAGACTCTTTCAAATAATCTGCAACTTTGCATAGCAGGCAATGATAACTTTAGTCACCTGTGATTGCCACAGTCAGTCTTCTGTATATCAGCTGATGAATGTATCTTTCATTTTACCCCTCCTTCCTTTATCCCTCCCTTTTTATTTCCTTCCCTCATTCAGCTCTTTAGAAGTTTTATTTTAAGTAATGTTACTTTATTGTTCTATTGCCTTAATGTCTTCCCTGGTAGAAATAATAATGATGATGATAATAATAATAATAATAACAATAATAATAATGTGTCTTCTAGGATTGTTATCATGATTAAATGAGTAAATATGCACATCTATAATATTCAGAACATTGCCTGTCGTAAGACTGAAAAACATTTTTGTTTCATTCCTCTACTTTTTGTTTTTATTTCATGAAAAATATATTCATATATTCTTATAATAACACTACATGAACATAAAAGTAGACAGAGTAAAATGTCAAAGTTCCTTTTTCTCGCTTCTAATAGACATACTCCTTAGTATGGATAACAGTTTGATATGCACAATTTTAATTTTTCTCTAGGTATTTAATTTATTTGTGCATCAAACAAAATTACTTGTTATATTAATGAGCTTTCCCATCACTGGGATAAAACACTTGACATCTGCAACTTAAAGGAGAAGAGGCTTACTTTGGCTCACAGTGGCAGTGGACTTGGTCCATGGTAAGCTGGCCCTGAGTCAGAAATAGCATGGCGGAAGGCCTGACACAGGATAATTGCTCATCTCATGGTAGCCTGGAAACAGAGAAAAAGGGAGGAGTTTACATACCTTTCTTTGTTAAAAGATGTTAAAAATATAGTCCTTCCACATATTTTTAAAAATATAGTCCTTCCACATATTTTTAAATAATTAGTGAATTAATGAAATGCATTTCTCCCTTGCAAGTCATCCTTCTAAGCACTGTGAATTTGGTAACAGCTACTAGATAAATTCCTTATCCATCAAAGTTTTGGTTATAGTGAAGGAAATGGAAATAGAAGTAATATGCAGGTCGAAATTAAATATAACAGCAGGGGTGACAGTTAGGCAAGAACCCTGGAGATAATGGAGACTAACACAAGCAGAACACTGAACAAGTTATGTGCCCCTGGCTTTTGAAACACGCAGAGAGAGAGAGAAGAGAAGAGGAGAGGAGAGGAGAGAAGAGGAGAGGAGGAAAGAATTCAGAGAGTTTGGGACCAGATTACATAGGATTGTGGTTCATAGTAAGGGTGTTGGGTTTGGTTTTAAATTTTATTTTGATTAATACATGTTTGCAGTTACAAAATGATTACACTCATGGTGGCAAGTTGACACATGTACATATACATCTTAATTCTTTTTTCATCTCCTCCTCCTCTCTGTCTCCCCTCCATCCCTTGGGTCCCTTCGGTTTTGCAAAAGATTTATCTCCCTGTTTACTAGTGTCTGTCTTTTATTATGTTTACTTAATTTATATTTTGTGTTTTTCATATAAGAGAAACTATGCAATATTTAAGGCATGTAACTGGTCATCTAACTTCATTAAATATTTGCTTCTTTTTCAAAGTTTTATATATGTAGTTTAGGTTATCTAATCCTTCTTTTCTAATGATGAAAATACTTCACATAGTTTTATTATAAACATTGGAATAAACAGCCTTGTCCCATTTGTCTCATCCATGTCATGAGAATATTTCATCAGGCTATTCGACCTAGAATAAGCAGATCAACAGGTGAACACAATATAATATAAATGTTGATAGAGGCTCTTAAACTGATTTCATAATTTTATATTCTGACCTAAAGTATAAGAAAGTAATATTTTCCCTTTATTCAGTCAATACTAGAGATTGTCGCTCTTGTTATCTAAAACAACCTAACTGGTAAAAAATCATGTCTAGTTTCTTTTACCTTGCAAATTTACTATGAAAGGTAAAGGTAAGGGTGACTTTGTGGATTTCTAATCTTTTTTTTTTTTTTTTTTTTTAGTTTCTTCTGTGAATAATCAATTGATCAAGTTTTCTTTTGAGATCACTCTCCGGCCAGACAACAGAATGGATGTTTGGGTCAAATATCCACCCTGAGTACAGCCAGCTGTGTCTGGAGAATTATGTAACAGATTATAAGTCCTCAAGGTTGCTTCCCAACATGGCCTTACGTAGTGTATGATCTCCTCACAGCCAAAGCAGTTATGCTGACTAATACCTTGCATGATTTGATAGCGAATGAAATCAGGAATGCAACACACAGTATTTGTTGAGCACACACTAAAAGTAAAGCTCCGTTTCAAATGTTATAAGGGAAACTGTGATGAGAAACTGTTTTCAAAGATACTTGTAATCTTATAAGGAGAGACAGCAAGTACAAAACTAACAATTCAGAACAGAATGTAAATTCCCCAGTAATGACATGAACCAAATGATAAAGTAATTCTAAGAGAAAGACAAATCACTTTAACCAATAATTCTTAAATTTTAGAGGTAAGGAGACCATTCATCCTAGATTTTGAACAAAGGCAGGATCTTATAAAGTGGCTATACTGTTTTTATAAGAATAATTCCACCCTAATAAAATATAAAAAGTTCACTTTAACTAATAATTCTTAAGTTTTAGTGGTAGTGAGACCATTATCCCAGATTTTGAATAAAGATAGAATATTTAAAAGGCTATACTGTTTTTATAAAAATAATTCCACCATAATATACTATTAAAAAGTTCAAAGAAACAAAAATCAGCTATAGTCTCTCAGTGAAAGGAAAATACTTTTTTTGAATGAATGACTCAATATTTTTGAGAAGCTATCACCAGACATCCGGATGTATGTGTGTGTTTTCATATGAATATATATAAGCAGTTTTACATAAATAGGTTAATTTTTATGGGCATGAACCTTGTCAGTACTTGGATCACTGACCAATATAGGTACCTAGTGAATACTTTCTGAGTGAATAAATATTCTATAATTGCCCTTTCTGTGTAAATGTATATATCTATCATTCTTATTAACTGCATAATAACTACTTGTGTAATTTATTTAATCCAATTCCTGCAAATAAACATTTAGCTTTATTTCAATTCAACTTTACTTTAAACAACACTGATAAGCACAATGTTAGGTAAAATTTATTTCATCCTTATCTCCTTAGAGTAAATTTTTACTGAGTGGTTTTGTGTAAAGTATAAAGAATATTTTAGAAAATTGTAAGACATACAGCCAAATGGTCTTCCTCTATAGAAATGTGAATTAAATTCTCAGCAATAGGAAGTAGCAGCATATTTGCATTCCTTCCAAAAGCCAGCTTTTACTTTTAAGTGTAGCTACAAGTGAGAAATTTTAGTTAATGTTTAGTGTATGTGAGGTGGGGAAGGAGGTTGGGATTGGATATATTTTATAATCATCATTTATGATTGGGTTTATTTGATTTGGTGTGAGAACTGGAAATCTTTTTTGTCTTTTATGTATTTATCAAAGTAATTTCACTAAGTTTGTCCTCTTAGAAGACAATATTCCTCAAATAAGAATTAGCGATGGACATCAAGTACATAGTGTATCTTCTTGTATTACAGAATGAACTGAGATTTGAATCTGAATTCTTTTTATATACTTCTATTATTAAAATCATGAGGCGATGTTGCATTATATATATTCTTAGGAAGCTACTAAACTACAATGTAGTTTAGCCACTTACTGCAGTATGACTATGATCTTGAATCAATTTTCAGTTATTTCAGGAGAAGTTTGTACAGATGGCTGTGCCAGTTATTAACATACTGTTGCCTGCTCCCAACGTTCTAATTCTTTGTGATGTGGAAGTGGAACTTTGAATACAGGCCTTACTTGGGTCTTGCTACCTAACTTTGTTAGAAGGTACAATAGTGAACCATGAAATGAGAGAAAGAAGGGCCTTGTTCTTTCCTCTCTGCTGGATGTTGACTTCCTGTCTGCTTGCAGATTTTGAGCATAACCTTGGCAATGCTCCTGCATTAAACAATTCTTCCAGTGTTGCAATGACTGAGGTCAGCTATTATTGGAAAGTAGCAACATGTTTCCATGCCACCCTACGATCATCAGCATCTGCCAACAGTATCCCGTCTTTGGAGGTTCGGGGCTTGTCTTCCAATTTAGAGTCACAGAATGAGTACCTTTTCCTTTAAGGCTTGAGTTTCAGCTCTGTAGACTCCTGTTCTAAATTTCTAAAATTTAAAACTCCAACCATTTCTTTTGTTCTTTCAACCACAAGGCTGATATCTATTTCCTGCCTCCATGATACATTAGTGTTCTTTGTTTACTTCCCAGTTTCCTACTTTACAACTCTGTACTGATTTATTGATAGACAACTGTATTTGTTTTGGGTTTTGCAAGAGGAACAATACTATACTGGCCACATATTTTATAAGATTATTTATAATAGTCACCTAAAGAATCATATTCAAACAGAGAATGCAGGAAATCTGTCCACACTAAAGACCAAAGAATCCAGCTGAGGGACTGGATCCCACAATAATGTCCTTCATGAGTCCAGCTGAAGATGTAGAGCCCATAATAATGCCTCCCACATGTCCAACTGGAGGTTTAGATCCCATGACAATGTCTCAGGTGAGTTTGTTTCATGGATCTGCACTGGGAAGGCCCAAAGGTCAGTGGTGGACGTTAGAAAGTCTATGCCAGTGGGATGAAGGATCTGTGCTAGCAGACTGAGGGATATGAACTGGACCCAGGAAGCAAAGCTCAAAGTAAAATCCAGAGCTCCCCTGAAAAGTACCACAGCCATCCTCAGCAACAGTGAGTTCCAGAGCTCCTTCAATGATGAGGAAAGCTGAGTTCTCATCAGCAAAGCCAACGTGACAAGCTTCTCCAAGAGACTAAACAGTGCACCATCTTTCCCTCTAGAGCCAGGAAGCAATGCTCAAAGTGAGGACCAAAGTTCCCCCAAAGTGAACCAAAGCTATTTTCAGTGACAGTAAGGTCCCAAGCTTCTTGGACAATGAGAACAGCTAAGTATGTCAGGAAAGCCAGCATGAGAAGGTCTTCTAAGAGAACCAATGGCTCTTTACAACTTTAACATCGCCCAATGGCTTCTCAGCTCCCAACAGCCTCTTTCAGCTAGCAGTGTCCTCTCTTCTTCTCCTGTTCTGCCTCATATGCTGTCAGCAACAACCCTCAGGTGGGTTTCCCACACCCAGCACCATGCTGGTTCAGTTCAGCTGGGTGTTACAAGTTGACCACCAGTTGTCAATCCACCACAATCCAACCCTCATCAACTTGATAACCACACACATTTCCTTAAACTATAGTCTTTAGTGGCAGATTTGTGAAAATTTAAAATGTCTTGGTCTATTTAAATTTACATTAATATAACATTTACACATATACAATTTTTTTTGCCCTCACCCCTGCACCAAAAGCAAAATATTTAAAGGGTGATCAAAATTCAAGGTTAGAACACAATACTTTGATTAATTAATCTGATTACAAACATATATCTAAAATCAACATTAAAAACATATTAAAAGAACTATTACAATCACAGTCCTTGCTTCCCATTAACTTTTACAGTGCATGGCAAGCCTAAAAAATAGGGATCTCCTGCAATTCAAATACAATCTTATCTGCAGGTGAAAGTCTTCAGTTCATTCTTCCACTGTCCTGTTTTTTAATAACCACATTCTCTTTTTCAATCTTGCAACCCACAGTTCTAGTAGAGCCAGCCCTCTGGCCAAATGCTTCATATCAACTTGCTGGCTCTTCGCTCTTAATTTCAAATATAGAACTGGCCAAAAGCTCTCAACAGTAACTATGCCACCTTCCCAACAGTAGACTAATTGAAATTTTTCTTTTTCCACTCAGGGAATATCTCTAAACACAAGCAAAATTCAGACCAACTTTCTGCCAAAGCACAATATACTACCTAGGATCCAGCAGCCAGTGCAGTCCTTCTCAGTTGAAGCCTCCTAAGCTTCATCTAAATCAGCAGCATTTCCACGAGTACTCTGATTTTCCAGGCTCCAACCAGAGTCTCCAGTATAGTTCACAGCATACAAGGGCTGCCTCTTTGGCCAGCCAAATTAACTCCAAATACTCTTAAGTCACATAGCCAGGCAACATTACAATATTACAGCAATAGCTCCACTCCCGGTACCACCCTGCTACATCCAGTTTAGGGTGGGTGTAGCATTCATACCCATAATCCCAGCACTCACATCCATAATCTCATTGGATCATGAGTCAATCAAAACCTCTAGAAGTCTGCCCCATGACTGCATGAGGCTTTGGGGGGACATGTAGACACAAACCATAACAATAACTCTGTAAGCTAAAATTTCTCTATTCAATAATTTGAATGTTTCTATGTCTTTACTGAAGACCGATGGAAATACTGGTCATAGAATAACAATGAGAGTTTTGTACTCAGTATAGAATGAAACCAAATTTTTTATTTTTAAAGAAAAAATGTATCTGAAGTCAGACAATCTATGTGGGATTTCTTACAAGAATTCCACAGGACAGAAGAGGCTGAGAAAAGAACCAAGGGCTGATACCAGTTCTTCATAAGTATTGTTAAATAAAATTAGCCATAGATCACTGCACTCTTCATAGAGACCTTGGGTAAGAATTTACTTTTTTTCCTCAAGTGACATTTCCACAGCAGCAGGATGGATTTTCATGGTGTACGTTGGCTAATCATGGGTTGATTGTGGAGCCTTCTCAATGCCCTGAGTTTATTTTGGAAGTTGAGTTACCCACAAAGAATAATTGTAGAAACCCTTATTTATTTAAGGAATTTAAGGAACTGTCCTGGAGATGCACCTTTGAAATGGCCATATTTGTAAACTGTGGTTGAGCGCACAATTTCAGACCTTATGGCATTAAGATAAAATCCTTATATGCAGTAACTATGATCATAACAGATTCTTTTTTTATGATCTTTATTTTTTAGAAAGTTTGAGATTTTGCAGTTTCAAGCTACTCATTAAACTCACCTATTTCAAATAAGCATCAACAGCCAAGGTCATCATTATTATGAAAATCAAAGTGATTGGAGAACTGTTTTTTTTTTTTCTTTTTAAGACAGTGTTCTCATGAAACAAGCTAGTTGGCCAGTTTATAGGTCCAATTCATTTTGTGCCATTAGCTCAAGTTTCTCTCTATTCATCTATAACTGCTTAAGAGTAACGCTATGAAAATTCCTAGGTTATTGATCATTTTAAACGTAATTTCATTTGGTTTTAAATAAAGGTCACAAAAATATTTCAGATTACATTTCTGTTTATAAGAACAGACACAATGTAGCACCAACTGCATTTATGTCAATGGTAACCTTTTGGTTACATTTTAAATTTCCCTATAGGCTATGTTTGGGAACTTTTATTTAGATAATCATATCAATTAGAAATAATTATAGTTTTGTTTCATGCCTACCTATCATCATATTTCTTCAGGATTAATGCCTCCAATGCAATGCTAAATAGAAAACGTTAAAAAGAGTATTCTCAGCTCCTATCTGATTTTATGGAGAATATTTTAAAGTGTCCCTATTTGTTCTGTTCTTTGCTGTTTCTTTTGATAAATAAACTATATAATCATTGCAGGAAACAAAAATCCTAGAAGATATTACAAGCAGGGAATTTGACAGGTACTTGAAAAATTATTTGAAGGACTATAGGAGAGGATTAGGGGGATGGAAGCATGAGGCTGGTGGTGAAATTTTATTTAAAGGTCATTCACTACAGGAGTCATCAGAGGTCACACCAATATATTCCAGCTATTTCTATTATTGTTGTCTCTGGTAGAGCTGCCTCACATCACCCATCTGATGCCTAAAACAGGTGAATAATGAAAAATGAATAGAACATAATGCTGGTTCTTGCCCTGTTAGCCTCTTGTGCAATAGGAACATAGCATCTTACGTTAGTTAAGGTCCAACAAATCACAGTAGTGATTTTAGCAGGTGTAATTTACTATAATTATTCCTTTTTTTTTTTCTGGTACTGGGAATCAAACTCATGACCTTGCCCTTGCCAGACTGGCACTGCACCTCTGAGCTAAACCCCAGCCCCTACTATAATTATTCTTCAGCTAACTATGAACAATGTTAATTCAAAAAAAGAATGACGAAACCATTCACCTTCGCTTCAAGAATGAAACACTTAGGAAATAACCTAATCAAGGAAGTAAAAGAATTCTACAAAGGAAACTATATTACTCTGAAAAAGGAGATGAAAGAGAATATCAGAAAATGGAAAGATGTCTCTTGCTCCTGCATATGAAGAATAAATGGTATCAAAATGACCATACTCCCAAAACTTTTATACAGATTCAAAGCAGGCCTGGTCAAAATATCAACAGTATACTTTACAGATCTCGACAAAGTGATCCTAAAATTCATATGAAGCCAGAAGACACCCAGAAGAGCAAAACAAATTTTGAGCAACAAGAGCAAAGCAGGGGGTGCAGCAATACCTGAATTGAAGCTATACTACAAAAATAACATTGTACTAGAACAGAAACAGGTATGTGGATCAGTGGGACAGAATTGTGGATACAGAAACATCACCAAAAACATTCAGCTATTTGACCTTTGATCTTTGAAAGCAAATGTTGGAGGAAAGACAGCCTATTCAACAAGTGATGCTGGGAAAACTGTTTATTTGGGTGCAGAAGAATGAAATAGGACCCTATTTCTCACCATAAACTAAGTTAAAACCAAAGTGAATCAAAAAGCTAAACATTAAAACAAAAATATTAAATCTCCTAGAAGATAAAATAGGTATAAAA